GACGACGCTCAGGCGGAACTCTTTTTAGTTTAAAGACTCGGAATAGTAAGAATTATTATTAAAAGGTTGTGAAAAGTTGTCGTTATAATTAGTATTGTTAATATATTCCCCTGATATATTATGTATTTGTCTATTCTGATTCTGCCGTGAGTTGTTGTATTGTCTTTTACGGCAGTCTTTTATATCATGGCCAGGGTGTTTGCAATAGCGACAAATATTAGTTGGTGGTTGTTGCGAAGTGGAAGGTCTATCGAAAGAAACGTTGTGAATTGGGCGCTGCCTATTTAACAGACAGTTTCTGTCAATGTGACCTATGCGGCCACAGGTTCGACACCTAGGTCTTATATCAAAGGTTTTTGTAGATTGGACAAGGTTATAAAGTTTTTCTTCTTGAATGGCTAAATTTATTGCCTCACCCAAGGTAGACGGGTTCCTACATCTTAATATGTTGGAGATATGACTAGGTACTCCTAATAAAAATGTATGTAAGGCTAGGTCTTCAGTATTTGCTATTCGCCCTTTCAGTTCACTCTGGTCCACGGTAGAATGCGTGATATCTGTTTGTAATCTAGTTAAATATGTCTCTAACCGTAAGCTATACTGTGATATGGATTCGTTAGGTTTTTGTTTGCAGCTCTGTAAATCTAATAATAAGTGATCTTTATGTTTAGTTTCCCCGAATGTAGTCTTAAGGAATGATTTTAGTTCAACCCAACTGTCAAAAATTTTCAGAGAGCAAGCCGTTTCAGCTTTCCCCTCTAACTGCGATAAAATATATTTAAAGAGTATATCGCATTGTGCGTTGGACGCGAGGTTTAATGCATTGTCACAGTTACGTAAAAATGACGATAATTTATTTCTATCCCCATCGAAGGGCTTTATAAATTTTGTAAGAAAACTTACAGATGTGTTTTCTTTTTCACCCGGTACAGTTACGCTAGACAACCCAGATAGTTCTAATTTTACTTTTTCGTTAGCCATGATCACTTTTTATTAAGATTAGAACAAAAAAAAATAATCCAATTAAGAGAGAATAAGTTGATTAAAATATAACGTTATTATTATGCACTCACAGAAATAGTATCGCGGTCATTTGTTGATACAGCGTTTTTCACGGTGCGGCGATAAGTAGGTCAGACGCCTTAGCGCCGGCTATCCGGAGTTATGCAGTAAATGCTCGATGCGTAAACGAAGTCGTGCTATGTGTTAGCACGGTTGAAGCGGAGTCTTCTTCTGAGTGGTGCGGAGCCTTCTTCTGTGTGATGCGCTGGGCAAAGAACCCTCGGCACATCAACGCGAAGTCAGTCAGTAGTTATGATGATCGTCGATGGTTGTAGCTGGAGTGGCTGACACACCTCTATGTCAGAGAGACGGTCGGGCGGCAGGCTGGCAGCTCAAGCAAACCCACGGGATGGGCTTATATCGACGGCAGTGATTCTGGTCGTCGTCAGGAGTAGGCGACCATCAGGGAGTAAATCCCTGCTTTCTTCTGACACCAAATGTTAGACGGAGCACTTAGTTTAATTTAAAAAAAAACTTTATTTGCTCACAATCACTTTATTTATATATTTATGTTTGTTATAACACTGCTATCACTTTATTGTTCACTACTACTTCCTTTTAGTTTTAAGGATAACGACTCGCGACGGGCTAGTTTACTAGGCCGTTGAATAGTTCCTCAGAGTTTCCTTGCTGAAGGCCAACCGGCAGGCAGAAACCAGGTCCGTTGTTGGGCAGCAATTCCACAAATCAGAACAAGACTAACTGTAATATTGAAATCGCGGGTTTTTATACAAAAAATATTGCTGATCACAAATTTAATATTGGAAATAATTATTCATTATAGTTTTCCTAAGTCAGCAACATTTCTGTAGTAGGCATTAGGTAGGCAGGTTATAACAGAACGTAAATTTCTAATTTAATTTGACATATTTTTTCTTCAGATTTTTGTTGAAGCTTTGGACAGATTTCGTTATATATTTTTTAAAGCATTTACTTAGATGTATAAATCTAAAGAAAATTTTACCGTCCGTCCGCCTTTGCGGGTTTGAGTCCCGTCTGCTGCCTTGGCCGCGTGGACTTTTTTCTAGTAAAATTTTCTTCAGATTTCATAACTTTTCTCGTGAGAGTTCGCACGGCGCAATTTTTTGACATTTGCCGCAGTAGAAAAATGGATTTTCTTCAATCAAAGTTGAACGACTATTACTCTTAAACTAAAAAATCTACCTTAGCCGTTATAGGTTTTCCGTTTTAGAGTTCATGAAAAGCACCTTACAGTTAACCGTTATAAAGCTCATGGAAAGCACTATTATCAAAAAAAAATCCAGGGTTTTCAAACCAATAGTTTAGATTTTAGAAGGGCGAGGGCAGGGGGTGCCCTACTCGAACTCGAAAAATTATCAATTTAAAGTTCAATATTTCGCAAACGGATCCCTAAATCTAAAAATAGTCTTACAAACCCCATAATTATTTTAAAGGACCTATTCAACGATATCTCACACGATGGGGTAGGTGATAAATAAAAGGTGAGCTACCCTAAAAAAATATTCTATCGTTTTGTCGGCGTGATCGATATACATATCACCACAAAATAACAGTTCTCTAGTGCTATTAGTCTTTAAGAAAATCTGGGGACGCATGACGGACATGACGAAAGTTTAAGGGTTCCTTGTCTACAGAACCCTTAAAAAGCATGTTTTTATAGGAACCATGTTGATTTCAACGTTGACTAATCATGAATATCTGTGTTGTCCTCCCGGATAACGAAAGTAGCGGGTTCGAATCCCAGTCTGAAACCTAGACCTATTGGAATTGTATCTAGTAAATATATTCTTTAGATTTTAACATCTATAGTTAAATGCGTAAAAATATAATTATAATAGTAATCACTTCTTTATTTTGTTCATAGTTAATTTGCTGACCTAATTAACTACACGTTATAAATAAATAGATGACTTTAAAACTCATCACACTCTTCATGAAAATTAGTATTTGACCCCATAAAGCATCTAACCTGGTTCTCTGAACAAAGGACATTAAGGTCTTGAATCCTGGCACAACTTTTTAACAAAATCACCCATTTAAAAATAAAATAATAACGAAGCCAATAAACTATTAATATAAATCGTTATTATGCACCGAAACCTATTGAATGCATTTATCAGTTGATTTTTAATGCTGTATTTTCAATAAAAAGTAGTGTCGAGATTATTTACCAAATAGGACAAGTTAGGATGAACACAGACTGTAGTATCTAGCACCAGAACTTTTATTTTTAATTTTTTTAAACAGATTGTCCGTTTACTATGATTAATATTGCTAATAAGTTAAAAAAATAATGGTGAAGGACATTCTTTTGGGCATGCTGGGGCCGATTTCGTCGATGTCCTTTGGAGTTTGTGTGAACATTTTTAATTTCTGTACGAAAGCTAAATTTGGGACGCGGACGGAAATTAAAAATGTCTGTGAAAGACACTCACTAAGAGGATGGCAGAATTCTTTTACCCAGCGTTATTGAGCAAATATTTTATTTCATACTGTTCAAGTATAGAATCACTTTTCTAATATGTTGTAGGTACTTGCATATAGTATCGTAAAATTTTAGTACAAAACAATTGAAAACATTTCCTTGTTTAAAATATAAAAAGTAATGGTTGTTGTGAGACAAAAAATGTTTTTTCTTCTCCATGATATTAAGGCACATATGAGCGAGTGAGCGTGATATTCAATTCAATTCAAAATATCTTTATTCAAATAGGAAGTATTCACAACACTTTCGAATCGTCAATTTTTTTTCCTACCACCCGTTAAGGACATTTTTTAGCAGTGGAGAAAAACGGGCAAAAAAACTTCACAGCGTCAAATCTTGTAACAATATTTACAAAATATTATATTGTTACAGTCTCAATACAAAATTGGGTCATCTTTATCATAATTATAGAAACAGCCTGTTGGAACGTTTGGAACAGTTTAAACCTAAGCATATTTGTCTGAAATATGATATAATCACACATCTTAAAATACGCTTTATTCATAAGAACTTTTTAATAGCAGCTTTAAATTTATTGACGCTCAATTGTTGGATATTGCTAGGGACTTTATTGTAGAAGCGTACACAAAGACCTTTAAATGAATTTAATAAATTTGTTCCTTACCTATTTTATTTAAGGGAACACAGCGAACTTTCCGCTCGAATTGGAGCGCTCATCTGGGAAAGCAACGTCCACCTTTCAGAAGACCACAGTAAAATAACACTATCTTTTGGTGGTGTTGTGTTTCTGCTTGTGAGTAGGTTTGCAGGGCTCCGCGGGGTAAACGAGGCACAATCCCTAAACGGGGAGCCCGCAGTTTCGCACTTAGTAGCTTAGACGGTATTCGCAGGGTTTTTAGCGGATATTATATCAGGGAAAATGAGGGATGGGTCCTCAGTGGGAAGACACTGCAGGGGACCGTAAGGCTTGCGGGAGCCAGGTGTGACGTCCGTTCGGCGGTGTGCCTCTTATAGGCGCCGTCGTCTGCAAAAAGAGGGTTTTACTGCGTCATAAAATAAGGGCTCCGCGCGGTAGGCGATTGGGTTCAGGCTTGTAAGGTAAGGATACCAAGTACGGCGCACTTTCTCTCGCATCATTTATCTTTTCGGCTGAATACTTACACTTGGGTGGGATGATATAATTTGTTGTGCCTCGTATATAAAAAAAGCCATCTGTCCCTAGCTTCTTGACTTACACTTGGGTGGGGTGGGTAAATTTACTGCGCCTTGTATAAAGAAAGCAATTTGTCCCTAGCTTCTAGTCTTACACTTGGGTGGGGTGGGTTAATTTACTGCGCCTTGTATAAGAAAAGCAATTTGTCCCTAGCTTCTAGTCTTACACTTGGGTGGGGTGGGTTAATTTACTGCGCCTTGTATAAAAAAAGCAATTTGTCCCTAGCTTCTTGACTTACACTTGGGTGGGGTGGGTTAATTTACTGCGCCTTGTATAAAAAAAGCAATTTGTCCCTAGCTTCTTGAACTCGTGCGTCAACCCCGTGGCACTATACTGCGTCAGTGGTGTCTTCAGGCAGCACTTCAACCGCTACCTCTGTTGTCGCCGAGGCACCCTCCACCCGACCTGCAGCTCAAGGTTGTCCAGAACCGCGGTCTGCGAGACCTCTTTCAGAAGTACACATCGTCATAGATGCAACAGGTAACTGCCGTAGACAAGTGATCATTTCTATAACACCGAATGCTAAAAATATGTTATACCAGCGCTGATGGCAACATCAGCACCATGCTGAGTTGGGACCGATTTGAAAAAAAAGTGTATGTTTTGTATATATATTTTTTACTGTTGTTTTGTCTTAAATAAAATTATTTTTCTTTCTTAAGAAGCTAAAAATATAGTTTTTAGATTTTTTGTCTGTTTGAATGTCCGGGATAAACTCAAAAAGTACTGCATGGATTTATTTCAAATTTGGCTCGAATATTATTAAGAAGTCGGGTTAACATATAGGCTATATATTATCACGCTATCACCTACGGGAACGAGCAGTGAACCTTTATTTCTAACTAACTCCACGCGTACGAAGTCGCAGGCGGCCGCTAGTATTTTATACAAATATTAAGTAATTAGTTTTAAAGTTATTTAAGAAAATAAATAAAAATTACCTGTCCCCCTTATGTCCGAAACTACCGCGACTAAAAATAAAATAAACAAATACGGAATATAGCTCTTTGCATATGGATTACAGGAAAACCTATAAGTAGTTTATAGTATAATGGCACGGAACCCTGCGTACGCGAGTCCGACTCGCACTTTATTTATTTTAATTTTAAAGTAAGCGTAGTCTCTGTATCCACTGATGCGCTAAGATTTTCTCAACAATATGGGTATTGAGAATTTCCTTAATACAGGACAATTCTTTTTGAAGTGAAAACTTCTTTAGCGGCGTTGTACACTTTTTTGTAAAGGTAAAAAATATTTAACTCGCGTCAGGTTAAACACGTGGGCTGATCGCATCATGACACACAATGAAATTGGAAAGGTTGTTGACTTTCAATATATTGGACGAAACATAGTTATATTTTATGTTATCGTATTATAATAATTATCTAGGACGTCTACGTGGCAACTTTATTGCGACGAAAATGCATTTTTTTACAATAGATGTCGCTAGGTGCGCTTAAACGTGATTCATGTAAGTTGATTTATCTGAGAGATAAACTTTTTTAATGTAATATAAATTGTCATGTTTGTGTACGATAGCGCAATAAATAAATATTGTATTCTACCACATACATGATAGTACTTTTATACTGATAATTAAAGCAATTCGTGCAAAATTATTTACTAACCATTCCAAAATATCAAAAATGCACAACGTTAATATTCAAGTTTTCACTTCTGCCGGCACTCCCGGAGCGCAACCCGTCGGTTTTCTTTTTCTTATTTTCGTATTACAAATCTTTCTTTACCACTCTTACTTTTTTATTCTTTTTGATCGACGTCTATTATAGGATGGACATGGATACCAGATTCTTATCTTTATCGCCACCAAAGCGAAAAGCCACTTTATGTCAAAACTTTACGTTCTGAGAAAGTCGTCAAACTTTAAAAGATAACACTTATTTGTTTCTTAAGTATTCACGTACACCACTCACACTTAAATAAAACACACTTAAACGGGTATAAAATGAAGCTTTTTTTACTTTTTTAACGTTTCGCATCCTGCACCAGCAGTGCTATTTTGTAAAAATTTCACGCACGGATCCGCTGTGAATCTGTGCGGATTTATATCGGAACCGCACGAATCCACATCGGATATGCGCGTGATCATCGAATCGTGATTAGGATGTGAAATGTAAAAAAAGGAAATGTCCTCAATTTAGTAAATTCTCAATACCCATATTGTTGAGAATATCTTAGCTCATCACTGGTTTAAAATGAGTATTTTTATTACTTTTTTTATGTTTCATCATGAACCTGATTCCTGAGTAGAATAGATGATAAAAAAATAATTACAAGATATTTTTATTAATTCAAAAAAAAAGAATTACAAGCATGCCAAAGTTTGGGGAGCGTCACTGTTAAGTAAAAATTGTACGAAGACGTGACATTATACGACATTTCAAATCAATATATCTCTGTAACATTTATATTACGTAAACAAAATATCCAACTGATAGACGAAGAAAACACCGTTATTCATCTCTCCTCATCATCATCTCTTTTTTAATAAGCTGAACTATTAACTACAGCAGTAATTGTTCTACCATCGTTTACAGGAATCCGACAGAGAGTGTCGTGATTTCAAACTACGACTACGGAAGCACTAAGAAGAAGAGCAACATCATATCAAGGAACAGCGGAGACGGTGTCACCATCATGACTGTCAGGGACACAAACGACTTCCTCGTAGGAGAATCCGAAGACAAATGCGTCAAACGATAGATTTTTTACCACTTACCTACTAATTTATTCAACCGTTCTCTATTTTTATACCAAAGATCGAGGTAGCAAGGAAATTATTAACAAAAAAAACAGTTGACGTTTCGATACTGCGCGCTAAAAAAATGCGTTGAAGCATGTAGTATGCGTCGTTTATGACTCGGAACAACATTGTTGTGATGCTGGCACTTCACTTGGCTATTCATGTTTGCGTTTGTAAAATTGACATCATCTGGTCCTTTTCACACTTTATAAAGCATGATAAGGACAGACTGTTGGCTAGTTTATAAATAACAAGTATGAATAGTCAAGTTCACTTGTTTCGGCTTGAGATTTATGTTATACATGCAATGTATAGATGTCAGCGTAATCTTTATATGAGACAGAATTGTCGAGTCAGTGATAAACAATGTTATGGCTATCTTTATTACTTATCAATTTGAAGGAGTGGCTTCTCAAGTGATATTATACCTTTCATTCTTGATTACATCTTTAATTTATGAACCTGGAGCTCTACTGGGCTTAACGTAAGCTTAGAACTCGCTATAAAATCATTCTGAAGTTTTTATCTGACCTCAGTGAATTTAAAGATATAGTATTTCTTTAATATTATTGAAATCTTTGTATTAATTAATACTACACTTATCTTAAGTGTAGTGTTAATTAATACAAAGAATAGCCCATTAATTTTGTCCGCTAAAAGTAGGTATTGAAATTATGGTTTTAGTTAGTAGTAACTATTTGTTGCGAAAAGCCGTTGTTAAAATGAATTTACCTGATGGAAATGTTGCATTGTAAATTGTTGTAAATTATGTATACTTTATGGTATTTGATAACATTCCAATTAAGATAAACCTTAAGAAGGTAGAAAAAGTATTTTTTCTATTCCAATGAATGTATATAAAGAACATTTATTTGTAAAAAAACATGTATATAATGTGTACAGCAGCAAATAATTTATGTTGGATAAGTCTTTTTCACCAACCGAAAAGTTGCCCTCTCATAATGTGCATCTAATATTCAAAATGAATGTCGGGCTTCACAATGTAAATAAGGAAAATGTGAAATCGTTTTTAGACCAAAGATAAAAGTTAAATGTCATCGTTATACGTTTTCATTGTAAATAATGCTTTCGTTGGTTAGCAGAGTAAATGTTAATAAATTATGTTTTTACCGTACTGATGATCTTGAATTACTTGAAGTGATGTTCGAAATTCGGATGTACTTTAAATATTTGTCGAAAATAAATAGTCGTACAGATCCTTTTGTTTTTTATTCAATATCACCATCATCAGCCTATTAACGGCCCCACAACTGGAATACAGGCCTCACCTAGGGTTGCCAGGTCGCATACTTAACAGCCGGACAGACTAGCCAGTTTGGTCGGACGTTTGAGTAAAAAGGCGGGACTCCCCACATTATTAAGAATTTTGTGTCTCAGTAATATTAGGTAGGTACGACAAAAGATGTAGGTATGTAAACGCGACCGACGGTCCGAGGCTTGCGCTCGGCCACGCTCGGCGCACGCTCGTTTGCGTAATGTAAAAAGCCTAACAAAAGCCGGACAAGCCGGACATCGTATATTTTGGCCGGATACGCACTCAAAAAGCCCAACTACGTCCGGCTTTATTCGGAAACCCGGCAACGCTAGCCTCACCTATGGACGGTATGGAAAGAAAGGGCTATAATCCCCAAGTGGGTACTGCGAATAGGAGGGTGCTAACGACAACAGATGCAGTCGGACCAAAGGCTTATTGATTCCTAATCCACTTGTACGATATTTCGATTATAAATGTCAAAACAGACAAGTTTTTTATGTAGAGAGAATGCATAATTGCATTTAGGTCCTCCCAAGGATAAGGAAACTGGAATACTTTGAATCAGAGATGCTTGAAATTTCATATTTGTTATTTACACAGTAGATAAACTAATAAAACTTGAATTGTAGTTTGAATTTCAAAATGACGTTCAAAATCGTAAAATTAAAAACTCTTTTGATTTCATGAAAAATTTTAGTAAACTAAGGGTAATAATTACTTATTTTACTAGACTTAGAATTATTCTAAGTCTAAGGCGTCGTCCTTATTGGCAAAGATCGTGCAATGGCGCGATGCGATCTCATCGTGCGATGAAAATAATGTACCAGTGCTTGTGCGACGGCTTACGAGCTGTATTAGGACACCTCTGAAGAATAACGTATCTTTGAAAATCATAGCACGACAAGAACGCATCGTGTCATCGTACGATCGTTGCCAATTAGGACGACGCCTATGGGCAAAACCCCGAAACTGCATCGAATGTTATGTCCCCATACGGAATAACTACTCAATGTGCCTTCCGACGCGACGCACAAAACATCAGGTTATATAAACCAATTAGCTCTTATTACTATATGCTGATCATCAAGTACTAAACATATTGCACGTGGTCCAAATTAAGGTCATTAACGGGATTAAGTACTAGTCGATAAACTAACGTAAACCTAAACCGAACGGTTTTGTCACTGCGCTATCAATCTCTCATGAATTTCCATACGAAGCCTCAGTCATGATTTATATGGTTAAAAAGTTAACAACAACAAATAACACTAGTCTAACAAACAAAGACTCTGCCCTGAATGCATATTATGCGTACGCTATAGCGTGGCTCCACTACAGCATTGTTTTGTGGGGAAATAGCCTAGAGATTTTAAAACTATATAAACTCCAAAAGCGCTGCCTTAGAATTATACTAAATATTGACCGAAGGACAAGTTGCCGACCATAATTCATAGGTGAATGTATTCTTACCCTTACGAATATATACGTTTTGGAATTAAGTATATTTGTTAGAAAATACACTCATCTTTTTCTGCAACAAGAACGACCAAGTAGATTAAATCCGTATCAATGATTAGTCTCTCCAAATTCCAAATTAAATTTTTTGCCGTGAAAGTCTACAATTAAATTCTCGAACATATTTAAACCGAAAAAAACCCGGTCAAATTAAAAAAAAAGTCATTTTTATCAAAGACCAGTTTTTATTCGATGCTAGGTTCTTCAATTTTAGTAGTAGTGCATTTAAGCAAGACCTTATTTTTTGTAAATGTTATTTATTAGTAATTATTACTTTGATTAAAGTTATTTTCATTTTTTTAATAAAGGAGATTTTATTGTAAATTACGATACCCTATCAGGGTTCATGTGTCTGTATTTATATCTATCATAAGCACATGAGTGCAATAAATAAATTTGGATTTGAACAAGTCTTAAGCCCACTTGCACCAAAGTTTTTAACGGATCGTAGGTGTGGCAATTTTGTGCGGGATTTATTCCTCCAAATCCTACACAACATGGCCCCACCTCCGGCGCTAAAGAAATTTTACTCAGATTTTAGTTTCAAATATTAAAACTTCATGCTATTGCTAAATTTGCATATTGACGTATATTTATGTCTGAAGAAGTATTAAATGCGCTCGCTAGATGTAAAAAGTCACTTAGAAAATTACTTCGGTCCTGAACTAAATGCTAAAAGGTTGGATATTGTACACATCGCATGTACAAGTGTTAAAAGCGTATCTTGATGTGTTAAATTTAACAGGCCAAATTAGGTATTTTGATTTATAACACAACTTTGTTCTTCTTTGTTACCAAATTCAACAACCAACTAAGTATACCACTAGCAGATACCTTGCCTACATTATCGCAATCATATCTTTTCAAGTAACCAAACACGAACTGAGTACTGTTTGTAATTGAGGAGTTCCATTGTTTGTCTCCGAAAGTACACATCAATATGTTCTTCACCAAATGAATACGGAACCATCTTGCTAAAGAACTGATTCAAATAAAATAAGATTCATAAAATTCGATCCACGCATATAAGAGATATTTTATGCGCGAACAGCAACAATAAGAATGGAGACAAATTGAAAAACCTCTTTTTGGAAGTCGGTTAAAAATATATTTAAAGAAAATTAAAATATTTAGTTCAACACAGAAAGTACAATATGTATGGACGGAAAATGTTATACTTAGCTACCTAATATTATCTATGCAAAAAAATATCATTATTGCTGGTAAAAATTATCTTCATAATTATATGAATAGGATCTTCATAATTAAGGAAGAACCTTCAGTCAGCCGTTGCAGATTCACGAATTGATGGTGAAGCTTATGATGGTACTTATTTTATAAATCTATGTTATTTTACATGCGTAAATAAGCACAGTTATAGAAGAGCACGTGCCAACTGCAAAACTGCAGATATACGCGAAGGTCTATTTTCGAAAATGTCTAGTCTGGTCTATTTTAGATATCTAGACGTATTTTAACAGGAAAAAAGTTAAAGTCGTAAATCATGTTTGATATATTGGCTTTTCGATCCAATCCTTCGCTTGAATGCACGCTGATAACTAGGAGTAAAATTTGCAATTATATTTTAAGAAATAAATATCATGACACATCAAAAATGTCTAGAGGACGCAGTAATTTTAATGAAATAAAAATTTATCTAATGTACATTGAATACAATGGATTATTCCAAATAGTCTTCAAAATCAAAGAATGTCTATGTATAAATTAACAAGGTATTAGGGTATTCATATATTTTGTAAAAATAAAGAAAATTTTTACAGTATAATTGTAGGTTGTAGAAAATTGATACAAATTAACGACAGCATCAATTACGTACGTGAGTTGCATATTTTATTCCGAGAGATTTTTGATGTGTATATTTTCCTCAGAGTTTAGTCAATTGAATTTAATACTTCATTCAGATAGGAATCATCTTATTTTATTGTCAGTAAAAAGAGGTTTTAAAATTATTTTTAGAACCTCTTCATTACATGACAAAATTTGATCACCAATAAGTATTTCAGACCCAACCATCAAAAAGGGTTCTTGTTTGGCATTTCTGGCTTTCTGGAACATTACATTAGTGGCGTGTTACGTGTTACAGAGCTTGAGTCAAGACTTCGATTCCATAAACAATTTATGCCAAGTGCACAGGTTAATAGAGTCGTGCTGGGTTCCGCAAAGATAAAGAAGGACCGAAAAATACTAAAATCTTTCCTACAACAAGACGAAAATGATAAGTATAAAGTACACGCAATGAATTTGTAAATGGGAAGTGAGTGGTTAACCATAGGTGAGTTCTGCATTCTATTAGCTCTGAAATGGCGCACTTTATTACATGATTGGTCTCCTTCTCTACTAAAATTCTATCTCAATGCCTTCCAAATGACCCTCCCAGAGCAGAGTTACCTAGTAAGATGAAAGAAAGCCTTTGCTATCCGGGCGAATGCACTATTTTTCTATTTTTCTAGTTCTATTTTAGTAAATGTAGTTAATACGTCTTAGTACCTAAGTAGTTTTATCATTATAATTTTTATTATTTTTAAGCATTGTGATGTTAAATTCTCTTCAACAGCCCTCCTTTAGCCCACTCAGAGCACCGGGGGAACAATAAAAGAAAACCAAAAAAATTAAGATAATGTTATAAGTATATTTTATCCACTTTAGATACCAAAGCCTAGGACTTCAGTAGATTTAAGTTATTGCTTATATAAATCAACAAGTCTAACTATGTTTATTATTTATATAATAACTATGTTTCACTAATTATAAATATCTAAGCTGAATACAGTAGTTCAAAGTTAATGTGTATATAAACCAACAAGTTGTCAGGAAAGGTTATAATTATAAGAATATCAGACATTCATAACACTTTACCATGTACTTACAATATAATACTTACTAATATTTTTTTTTTATCCACAAATACCACATAGACTATACTGAATAAGCTATTTAGTGGATTTCAGAGGTTCTACGGCTCGTTTGATCGATATTGGTGACAAACTTATTTAATTCTAGTTCTCAGTGAGATAACCAGCTATATAGATATATGTAAATATATGGAAATGGGTAAGTCGGGGTCCAACCTCGCCTGTTGTTTCCTTTTCACGTTCACCCGGGGTTAGTAGAGAAATACCTTGATTATGATAGGTTAAGCTGTGTATAATCTGTCTGCTGTTCGGCCGGGTTACATAAAACCGGAGAGCGGCTGGCAAATAAACTCCCGCGCCCCTTCTGGTCCGTGCACAGAACAAAAGTCTCCTTGTTAGTCCTCCAGTATTTCTTGAGGGGAACGTACAAGCCTGAAGTTCACATTGAAAAAGAATGATCAGATATGGGGAAAATACATGGATTACCACATCTGTGGTGGGTGAGGGAGTGAGGGATATTCACGGTCAATGTTTACACTTTAAAATTTGAATTACTACAGGACTGGGGGCCCGTCCCATCCGGTTTGAAGAAAATCAATTCCACGTTCACTAACTTGACAAGAATG